AATCAGTAAAGATATCCGAAGGACCGTGTTCTGCATCCGTCAAGTTATTTTCCACCAGGTATCATCCATGACTCTAAGCAAGTTGGACTAATCAGGTGTGTTTTCGGGCAGTCCGAAAGAGCACTGTTCCCACGTTTGCTAGCAGCGTTCGTTCGGCCACACACGGAGTACACCGTTCAAGTATGAAACTCATGGTTGAACCGCGACAAGAAGGCTCTAGAACGTGCGCAAAGGCTGGTAAAAAAAATGGTACAAGGTCTGTATAACATGACATATTCCGAAATGCTGTAACTATTGGGACTCTACTCATCTCAATGCCGCCGACTTCGGGGGGACCTAATCTTGGTATAACACATACTGCATCAACCCAACCACCCTTGCCGTTCTATGTTAACTTTATCTCAAAATGATCAATTTAAAGAGGCATCCACTAAAAGTGAACACTCAGAACAACCACGTTGATTGCTGGCATCACTCGTTTGCAATCAGAATGTGTGGTGTATGGAATTCTCTTCCATCCAATGTAGTGTGAGTTCCTACAATGGAACTATTTAAATCACAACTTGATAAAGCATTGGAACATTTAAAATTTTGACATCCGTGAGTGATCACACACACGTTATTGTCACTGTTATTTTCTCTTTGTGAAGTTATTCAAAATAGTCTGTAAAAATCCTATGGGGCATGATAAGCTTTAGCTTTGTTAAATCGCCCATAATAAAAATTTGACTCTTGACTTTAAAATGCGTATGAAACAACACAAAATTTCATGTCTCATCAGTGGCATAACACGGACAGTCCGATAAGCAAGAGCCGGCTATCAATGAATGCAAGACGTGATTCAACTCAGAGAGAGAGAGAGAAAGAGGGCAGGAGTGCAATGCCAGGGAGAAACAATATTAATAATAATAATCAATAATCTTAGGGGAATCATCAACATATTTTTCCAGTCGCTCGGTGTTTCACATCAAAGTCTGTCTCCAAAAGCCTCACTATGGTCGGGGGTGGGTGTCTAGGATTACGGCTGGTCATCCTTCCCTTGTACCTCGCCAAATGCTCCCATTAGAACAAGCGTCTCAAATAGCCTGTGCTGAGGAAGCCCTACACACTGCCTTCTCCTCTCGGAGGTGTTTTCCCACCAAAGTGAGGGGAAGAAAATGCGACATCCGGGGTTATAACCGGGTTGGTGAACCACTGGTTATTCACCTAGGGGTGTTGGCTAAAATCCCTGATTCCAAACCAACCATGAGGAGGCATACGAACCACGCACACTTCTTCCTGGTTATGACAGTGGTCACCGGCTCGATTNGTATTGGGCACCTTGAACGTTTGACCCCTTCCGAAGGGCGTATGATCCGATGAACTGGACACCGGCCCCCAATGGATTGCGGTTTTCGTACACCGCCCGCTGCCTTGCGGGTCAGGCTTTGGCTAACCGATGGCTCCGGTTGTCGATTCCTCAGGAAAATTCACCTACCTTGGCCTGGGCAACCTGGCAGTATTCCGCTCACATGCAAATCATGGAACGTTTTTCTTTTTATAAAGTTTATTTTACTATGATTTGTTTGGCATACAGTCTGGATTCAGATGTGTGTGAGAATATATAATATCACGCTAGCGTCTGAGCCTTTTGAAAGTAGAAGAAATTGACTAAAACCAAAAACGGGAAAAATAAAAGGAGGTCATGAATGCAGTTTGTCAAAAAACAATTGGACGTCAACACGAAAGAAAGAGAATACTGGAACTGAACAGGAACACACACAAAGAGAGAGAGAGAGGGAGCAAGGGCGTTAACTTAAACCATTTGGCATGCCAACCTACACGTATCAAATATTTGTCAGGTATCATGATTTCAAAGTTCCCGGTCATTCCGGTCGAGTGAGCGCAGAACACACAAGTAAACTGGTCATCTTCTTCTTGATCCACATTCGCATTTACAAACAACAATAAGAAAAAGGACGGTGTTACACGTCGTATTTTAGCCACGGTCGGATGTGATGTGCGGATTAGGTCCTCACTAATCCCAAACCAATTCCGAGGAGTGCTTATTGCCACAGGCAACTAAAAAACGAAAAAAAAAACAGATGCAAAACGAACAATCTGATAAAGACCAGCGACTAATCCACTCAGTCGAATCGCGTGAAAACACGATTCTGAAAGGGATTAAATACCGCCTAGTCCAACACCGTGTTCTAGCAATATTGATTCAACGGGCAACGGCAAATGAATGCTGTCCGGTGTATGTCGAACAGATTGATACCTCAAATACGACGGAAACGTTTGTGATAACCGATACAAAGAGCACTAGGCAGCAGCTGTTTCCTGTCCTGTTTGGCACTCGTCATCAGTGCGTACATTTTGTATCCCCGTGTCAGGATTTGAACGGCGATCAGTCGGGTCGGAACTTCAAATCCTACACGCGGTCGACGGTCATCGCCTTGTGCGAATGGCTCAATCAATTTAGAGTATCAAGCTTGGATTAGCCCATTCGATTGTTCA